GAAGATGACGTGACAGTTAATAAAATTTATATAATTATACATTTAGTCCTCATTACTTACACATTCTATTAATTTGGTCATAACTTTTATTTAATTTAATAAATTTAATCCTCAACCAGATGGTGATATTTGGTCATAACTACTGTTGATGGGTTTGAACCTGAGATGCAATCTAAAAAACTAAGCACCCTAATCACTAAGTTGGACCACTAAATTTGTTTAGTATATAGAACACAATCTATATAATTTATAATATATTTAATGGTAATAAATGACCTTATATGGACTCAAACATTAAATAATTGAATAGTATGAAAATATAAAAAAAATATAAACAAATATTATAATTGATTAATAAATGAATATGTTTTATTTATTTTTTAAACCACATTTAATGCAAAAATTAAAATAAAAGTGAATTTAATATGTTATAATTGAAACGTATCATTTTACATATTTTAAATTAATAAATTGTCTTCATTATTCAAATTTATTAAATTAATTAAAAGTTAGGACCAAATTAATAGAATGTGAAAGTAATGATGACTAAATGTGTAATTATATAAATTTTATTAATTGTCTCGTCATCTCCTGCGTTAATATTTAACGGTAGATGGCTTGATTGATAGGACTTAAATAGTTAGGTGACCCGATTGACGAAATTGAAAAATCGGTGATTAAAGTAAAAGGGGTAAATAGTTAGGTGGTCAATGGTATAGTTTACCCTAAAAACTAATGTTTTTTATAAAATTAAATTACATTTTGATTTTTAACTAATTTATAATTATATGTTTAATACTTTATAATTTAACGTTTTATAAATTAATTTAATGATGCTCATCGTTAACGGTGCTCATCCATACTCGATCAGCGTTATACAATTTTTCCTAAATAATTTATATAATATATATTCTAAAAGCGAGTAATTAAGAACAATAAAGAATAGCGTTGATCTTTGTCTCAGTGTCTAGATATGAATAAATAATTTTAAATTAAAACAAAAATATTACATAATTTTATAATTTTTTTCAATTTAAATCGTAGTATTATAATCTAAAAAAATCTAAGTAAATTCAATGTATATTTTTAATTAAATATTTTTTATGTTTTGACTTGTAGTTGCAATGTTAACGTAAATGAATACAATGAAATTTGAAGTTTGAATATAAATTAATTTTAAATTCAAATTTTATAAGTGTTTAAAAAATTCGGTTTAAAATATTTTGAGAGAGATTATTTGCTTGCATGAAACAAACTCAAATACAAATTAAATTCAAAGTGGCATATTATAGTATATAGGAATTAATGGAAGATGGTTCATAGGCAGTGGAGAATCAAAATGAGCTTGAAATATAAATAGATTAGATGTAATTTTTTATTTTTTATTTTAAATTTAAATAAATCTAAGGTAGTATATGTCCAAATATTTTCAATTCTCTAACAATTTATACAGTGATATGAAAGTTAATGTTAATATTGATATTTTGTTTCTCCAAGAGATGATGATGGCGTGGGTTATACCCTACAAGTCTTATGGGCTCATTCTAGTGCACGTCCATCATTGGGCTTTGAAAAACATATATATATGTATATATATATATATATATATATTCTGAAGGCTTTCAAAGATTTTGTACTTTAAAAACTAGAGAAAATATATGTGCTTCAATCCTCGTTATTTTATAGTGGCATAAGTAACCAACACGAAACTGGTCACGGCTAAGGCACCAAACAAAACAAAAGCACCCAAGCCTCACTACCATACTTGCTTACAAGAATCAAGGCACCACAAGGACCTACATAACACAACGAAACATAGCACGTAGCCGAGACTATAAGGCCTAAAGGAAAATGGCCGAAAGATATCGAGGGTCACTCCGATCATTTCCCTAAAGTTTTAAAATTATCATATATTTTAAAGTCTCCACGTCACTATGTGCATTATCGGTATCGTCTTCCCCAGTTACATACCGGAAATTTCCTTAGCATGGCCACTTTCTCATTTTTCTCATACAGATTGTTTAACGTTTGTTTTAGACTTTTAGTTAGATTTTGGCTTAATTCACAATTTAACCCTCCCAAGTATATCCCGTTATCCACTCAGCCTAAACTATATTTTGACATAATTTACCCCTTAAATTATCATTTTGTCCCAGTTTACTCCAAAACAAAAAAATACGAATGTGACACATGTCATGTTATTATTGGACAGCGACATTTTTGGGGGTAACTTTAGACAGAAAACAATTTACAGTGTAAAATAGGAAAATAAGTCCATTTTCATGAAAAAATTATTTTATTTTTCTTTTTACTATTTGATATAGTCCATTTTTTAATATATATTTACTTCTTCTTTTACAGATCACACCCCTTGACTCTGGATGCGGAGTTTCTAAATCCAGTATGGAACCATTTTCCTTCTCTCTCTTTTTTCCTTCAATTTTTTGTATTATTTTTTTCATTTTAAACATTCATTACAAGGAAAAATGGCATGAACTGTGGATAAAGTTAAAATAACCCTGATAGATTAGGTTAAGCATGCATTGAGAGATTGACTTTTAGTTACCCAAATAAAGAATTAAGTGTGTTTATACATATATATATATATATATATATATATATATAATGTTGTAATAAAGTTGAAAAGTGCAAAGAGAAAAGAAAGTATATTTGCAGCAAAAGAGAAGAAAGTTGGTGCAAATGATGGGGACACAGAGAAGCTTTGAAATGCAGAAGAACATAAACACGCTTATGGTTGGATGGCATGAAATAATGCATTGGTTGGCGAAGAGAATCATGGGGGGATGCTGCCTTTTTCTCACCCAACCAAATTTCTTTTAATTTTAGACTCACAACCCATCGAGTCATTTCAGTAATGAAATGTGTATATAAAGTGTGTTATAATTATGAATAGGATAAGATAATTTTCAACAGATTCATTAATTAAAAAAATCAATTACTCAAACCAAATTTTAAAGATCAAAATTATCTCAATAATTATATAAATAGTCATTTTATATCTTATTTTTTTAACATTTTAATTTTTGGTCAAAACAATAACGTTCAATGCAAACTATTAATCGATTAATGGTCAATCAATTTAAGTGACATAATATATTTATATGTATCCAATTATTGACCTAACACATGTCATGTTATCACTTTCGGTGATGTGACGTTACTTTAGTGATATAACATATGCCACATCATTGGATGATGGAACACATATCATGCTATTACTTTGGGTGACGTTGCACATGATATATCATCGACATAGGTTGACTTTTAATCAATTAATTGTTATCATCCAACATGATCTGTTTTGATTAAAAATTAAACCATTAAGAGTTAAATGCTAAACAAAATAAAAGATAAAGTGATTATTTATGTAAAAATTAAAAAAAAAATTATTACATTGGGTATAATATTTAGAGTTTATCTTATGAGTGAAAGACACTGACTTTTAATTTTAATATAATGAGAATTACTAAGGCAATGGGAGACATACCCTAATCAATCATATATAGTATTCCCTAAAAGAGCAACCAAATGGGCTCATGAAGAAGTATATGTCCTAATCCCAATCACTTAAAATTTAAAAAAAAGGGGTTAATTAGGTGTTGTGGGAGACTCTAAAATAGCCTTTTCTCTACCTGGTGAGCACATGGATTTGGGGATTTGATTAAGACTATTTACCAAACAAATTCCCATAGAAAAAACCTAGAGACATAATGCTACCACAGTTAAAAGATGAGATGACCCATCCCATGACAAAAACTATCATCTATCAGCTACGGATGGTATGAATAGGGATTATCATCAAATTTTGATTCGATCAGTACTGTTATTATAGTATTCTATAAGTTACAATTTTAAATATATAATAATTTTAGAGAATTATAAACAATTTAGACATTACACCAATAAATTTATATATAATATTAAATTAATAAATAGGGACCAATAAAACATGTCTCTAAATGATTGGTTTCCAATTTTAATTTGTATGTAAAAATGTCTTTCCAGTGACAAACAGCATATAAAGGCATCTTTCCGGCAATTAAACAAATTCTAATATGAGAATCCAATTATTGACCCTTGAATTAGAAATTAATTAAATAAAAAAACAAAATTTTAAAATTGATTACCAATTTAAATTTTGATGAAAGCATCTTTCCAATATAAATACTTGAATTCCACTACAATGATTACTATTTTTTTTAAATTTTTATTCTTCTTAAAAAAATAATATTAATTTTGAAAGTAGGTGAGATAATAAAGTTCAATGGGTCTAGTCAGAATCTCACCAATGCCAACCTGGGATTCTTTTGATGCATAAATTAACCTAGCATAAAGTATCAATAAAAACAAAAACAAATGTTTAATCAAATGGTTGGTTATAACATTTGGTTATGCTTAAATTAATTAACTAATTACTTATTTCCTTTTTGTTGTTGTCAATATAATTTTTTTAATAGTTTTTGATGATTATAAGATAATTTCCGTTAAAAATATTTTTTAATTGTTAATAATTTATATACACATTGTAGACGCAACTATTCAAACTCAAACTTTTTAGATAAATCGGCACTTATTTTTATCAATGCCATTGTTTAATAAATTCTATTTTTGTCACAATAAAAAAGAAAGAAAGATAGGGACACAGGGATCTAGTTTTGGTTAATATATGAAAAATAATGTAAAATCGCCAAGAATTAAGGGTTGAAGCCAGCTATGCTCAGCTAAAAGGTCATCAACGTCTTAATCATGAGTTTTCTAGATAGAAAATTTTAGGCAACAAATACAGCTGGTTAACGCTTAAAAACACTAGTAAGGGTCTATTCAAGAAGATTACAAGATCTATCAGTGCTTTTTAAAAAAATAAATAAAAATTGAGTTGACGGTGACCTCCATGCAAAAGTTTCCAAGAGAATTCTGGGAAATTTTGTTTTTAGGTTAAGCTTACGTCTCAAATTATAATAAAGTAGAATGTCCAATGGTGTGGAAAATGAAAGCTGCTTAATTAGCATTACTTGATAAAAATACTATATCTTACAAATGTTGGTGCCTTTTCTCTATAAAGATCTTTGCACCATGAATACACAAATTTTACATTGGGTAAATTGGTAAGAAAAAAAGGATCCACAAAAAAGGGGTAAAAATGAATTAGAAGTTGAAGAAGAAAACCCTAAAATTAAGATTAAAAAAAGGAAAAGAATCCTCCACTTTAAACCTAAGCATAAATGGCTAGCACTAGCCTAGTTATGGTAGTTCATGCACTGGTCCAATAATAAGTTCATTTTTTATATATATACAATAGTAATTCTCTGCTTTAAACCTTTAATCCAGGACCAAAAAATGGTGTGTTATTAGAGCTCAACTTTCATGTCAGAAACTTGATTTGACCCTGCAATTACAAGAATAATCAATCATTAATTAATCAGTCTGATATAATTGGTTTGTTAATTCTATTATCAATGAGCTTTTTTTGTTGCTTACCCTGGAAGTTTTGTGAATGTAATGCCATTTCTTGGCTCTGATTCTGGCCAAACCCCATCTGAACTAGGGTTTCAAGGTCACCTTCACAAAATGTTGGGTACTGAAACATGATTTTGACACCCAAATTTTAGTTGTTTAGGTCTATGAAAATGGAGAAGATGAACTCTGAAAATGAAACTCACCTGAGGTACAGTTTTAATAAACTGGTTAATTTGAGGCAAATGGGTGTTAAGTTTAGGGCAGATGGCAGAATCTAAAGGGTCCACCGAGCATTGAGTCATTGTCCCATTAGTAATATTGCCATGTAATGGTGGATTTTGCTGGGACTGATGCCCCAAAAAGGCTGAGGAATTTACTGGGAATATTGGATGCTGCAAAGTGTTGTTTGATTGAAACACCTGCAAAAACAAAAAAAGGTAATCCCAATTCAAAGAATTGAAACATTATTTATTCTAAAAAAAATGAACTGTTGAAAATAAGAGCTTTAGACTTACATCCTTTGACATTAAACTCTCCACGTTGAAGTCCAGGCTGGTGTTCACTGTAGCTAACTTCATTGAGAGGAACTGCAAATAAAAAAATCCATGGAACTTGTATACCAAGAAATTGATCACCACACGTTTATCAAATAAAAAGTTAATAATTTTACCTCAACTTGTCGTTGCAATGATTGAACATAGTTTATAATTTCGTTCAGCATCAAGGCTTTTCCAGTAACCTACAATTTGAAACCCCAGAAACCCATTACTTCTAAGAATTAGAGCAACCATTTTTCTTTTTTAAACTTGATTTAGAACATATTTTGTTGCAGACCTTGTTGCAACCGGGAACAAGATTTTGCAGAAGCTTCATTCTCTCACTGATTTTCTCTCTACGGACCTGATCAAAGTGACAGATATTGATAAGCAAGAAACCCCAGTTTTTGAATTCAGAAGAAAAGTGAATTATGTATGATTCTCACTCTTTCAGCTAAGCTATGGCTGTCAGTTGCTTGACCCCTTCTTGCTCTAACATGAATATAGTCCTTGGGAGGCTCAGGAGCCCTTGTATTGCTTCCATTGGCGTCTTCTTCCACTGCTTTACCAGAGCCATTTTCGTTTTCATTGCTTTCGGATAACTTGCATCGCTTTTCATTTGATGCCTCGTTGGGTTTAATCACCTGGAAATGAATAATTATAGGATGTTGAAATGAAAATTTTCTCTTTAAAGAAAGTTACCAAACTGGAGCTCTGTTCAAAGTTCGTACCTTTGAAGAATTTGGCGATGGGGATGGTGAAGTTTCGTTTGTTTTTGCTTTGGGAGCCGCTTTTCTTTTCCTTGAATTTGGACCTTTAAAACCAGGCTCGGGGTGCTGTTTGGAGACGGTGGATTCCTCTTGAGAATTGGCTGCCAATGTTTTTATTGCCGGACTACTGGAAACACGCGGTAGCTTGACATTCGCCGCCGACGGATCAAATCTACAAGCGGCAATCTCACCATTGTCTTTGGGTCCAAATTGAGTCGTTCGACAATTGAAACTCCTGCTTCCAAAGATAGAGAATTTCGCTGCTCTCTCTGCAAATCCAGGATCAGCTGAGAAATCAGCCACACCGGAATTCATTCCCATTGATTTTGGCACCGGCAAGTTCAATTTAGGAGGGGAATTCAGTGGAGTGCTGTAACAAGAAGAAGCCGCCGCCAACATGGGCTGAGAATGTTGGGGGATCTCACCGGAGTTACCAATGCTCCCCAATTTCCCAATCAATTACCTCATCATCAAGCTCTCACTTGACATATTGCAATTCGATGCAGCTGGGGAAGACACCATGGAACTCAAGGCCGACTCGTACTGTAAACCATAATCTGTCGGAAAACAATCTTGGGACTGAGTTTCCATTACCGGAGACAGCGACTGCCAATCTGACATCGGCGACGATGATAAAGACGACCCAAAGTGCAATGGCGGGATTCCTGCATCAAGGAAAAACCGGTTCTCCATTTACTAAAATCCAATGTGAAGATCCAGATTAAAAAAAATTGGGCTTGGGATTCTTTAGAGTTCCAAAAGGCAAATGAGTGGAATTTAAGTGGGAAAAAATGATTGTTTGTTTTCATACAATAGAGGTGGTTAGAGGAAACGTTGGGCAGGACGCGAATTTGGTGAAGGAAAGCAAAGCAAAAGAGAGAGAGAGACGGTGAAAGGGGAAGAATCGGGTTGGGCTGCCATGGAGTTATATAGATGTAAAACAATGCTTATTGCTTGACTTTTTTTTTTCTTCCTTTTGTTTTTGCAATAATTAAACAATTTATTTTTTCCTAATTTTAAATAATTGAATGATGATTACAGTTATATATATAATTATATAAATTCAAATTCTTTACATTATATTACACATTTTTAATTAAATCATAGCTAAAATTACTTATATAATTATATATCAAATTAAAATTATATATTATATCATAAATTTCATCAAAAATTGTATAAAAATTTGATTTTTATCCATAAAAATACTGATATACACTTTTAGGACAAAGATCTAGGATTATATTTAGGGATGAGCATGGGTGGGGTTTTTGGTCTACCCGACCTGATCCGAGATCAATGACTCATCCACTGGAACCCGACCCGACCCACATAATATATACCCTCCACCCAACCCGACTCGAAATGATAAAAAATATTATTTTTATTCAATAAAACAGTAATTTAATTGACAAAATAATATATATATAGAGATATTATTGTAATTATTCTTAAATATATAAGGTAAAAAAATTTAAATCGGGTATTTTTCATCCTAAACCTAAATCCAACCCAACCCGAACACCACCTTTAAAAAATCTGACCGACCCGAACCTAATTTAAAAAATACAACCCGATCAGGTCGAGTCAAGCAGAAACCCGTCGGGTTCGAGTCTCACGTCCATCCCTAATTATATTTCTTGAACCAATTTTCTTTAGTCAAATTGCGCCTTTGGTGCTTGTCAAATCATAACCTTTGTGTATTTTTTCTTCTACAATTATTAATGAAAGTAACTCATGCATGAACAAATGATTAATCTTTCATTTCACGGTATTAGTCTTTTTGACGTATCCAACTCATCGAATAAAATATTGTTGGGATTGGAGTTAAATTGGTTGAATTGAAAAATAAAAATATATTTGTTCATATTAGAATTAATTTAAAAATAATACAAAACTGTATATATAAAAAGATACACCAACCAGTGTCATTATTAACAAAAATATAAATAATATAATTAAATAGTGTGTTTTCGTTTTATATTCTACTTATCATAGAGTGAGCTAATCTGTCTTCAATCATAAATCACAATACTAATAATAACATACATACTATTTCAATTTATTTTTTGTTTAAGTACACTGATGTGAAAAGTAATACGTACGTAGCTAGTAAATCAGAATTGAAATTGGCTCGACTTAAAATCTATTATTAGTTTCGGTAATAAAAAGAAAATAATATTCTCTTTAAAGGAATCGGATTTATTTTAACTTTTAAATTAAAAAAAAATCACTACAATGGTTAGAAAATGTATGAATTCAAATATGAGGAGGAGAAAACTATATTCCAATGCAGACCCGACATACACACATGTTTAACCACATGGTCGTGGCAAGGTTTTCGGGGGCCATGTACAAATTTGTATAAAGGGGCCCCTATTTTCTAGATATATTCGATTTCGGGACAACAATAGCGGCGTTTTCTTGACAAACGCCACAATAAATCCATCTATAAGGGCGTTTTATCAATAAAGCCGCAATAATAGTGGTGTTTTTTTGAAAAAAACGTCGCAATAGATCTATCATTAGTGACTTTTATTGATAAAACCCACTATATATATTTTTTTTTGGGCCCCATTTTTTAGGGGCCCTGCACGGTCATGCAGTTCGCGTCGCCCCAGCCACGGCCCCCTGTTGACCATATGGTTGCAGCAGTTGTCTTTCTTTGAACATTTTGTTTATGTTTTGATTGGATTCAAAGGGAATGGTTTCATCAATGACGAATTAGGTTTTTGCCAACCCTCCTGCATTTATATAAATCGAAGTTTGCATGCATTCATGGTGCAGTCTTGATAAAATAAATGAATAAACGTGAGTATATTAAAGGACGCACGTATATATGACAGATGGATCCTAAACGCATCTGAATAAATGGTCAAAATTCAACAACTGCTGTGCATTGCTTCTTCTGGCACCGTCCATCTAGACTCAAACATTTTCTAAAGAGAAAATCGCCTCAGTGACCAAAAAAAGTTATAATACGATTTTAACCAACTTTTTTGGATTTGCCAAAATGACCAACAAATTCGCAACGCGAAATAAAAATCGCAACGCGATCCCCAGAATCGCAAATCAGTTTCCAAATTCGCAACGCGATTCTTGAAAATCGCGATGCGATAGTACAAATTCGCATTGCGATTTTCAATAATCGCAACGCGAATATGAAAATCGCAACGCGAACACATAAATCGCAACGCGTATCCGTAAATCGCAACGTGTATCCGTAAATCGCAACGCGTATGGGTAAATCGCAATGCGTATCCGTATATCGCAACGCGTATCCGTAAATCGCAACGCGTATCCGTAAACCGCAACGTGTATCCGTAAATCGCAACGCGTATCCGTAAATCGCAATGCGTATCCGTAAATCGCAACGCGTATCCGTAAATCGCAACGATAATCCGTAAATCGCAACGCGTATCCGTAAATCGCAACGATAATCCGTAAATCGCAACGAGAATCTGTAAATCGCAACGATAATCCGTAAATCGCAACGAGAATCTGTAAATCACAACACTGAAATTTTGGGTATATAACACTAAAATCATAAACTAAATCCCTAAATCGCAACTCATTCCATCTCCATCTATCACTCTCTCCGGCGACATCCGTTCCTATATCCAACGACATCCTTCCCAATCCGGCAACAGGTTTTAGTTTCGCAGCTCGTCTGTTTAGTAAATTAATTTACAACCATGAAATCATCTAATGTTGATCATGTTTGGATAGATTTGTGTTTTGGAGGGTCATGGGATAATGTTCATGGTGTTTTACAATATATGCCTTTACCCATGAATCTTCAACTAAAATTGTCTTTACAAAAGTTAACTTATGAAACTCTAATGCTACGTGTTTCAAATAATTGAATTTAGAGCCCCTAAGTGGATTTAGGCTATCTTATCAGAGAAATGGTAAAGTTTATTTGTTAACCGACAATGAAGATGTTGAACGATTCATTGCTTACATTAGTGTTTCACAAGATGATGTTACATTGTATGTTGTTGAACCTAGAAGTAGTATTGTTGGGTCAGTAGCGGTAGTAATCAACTAAGTTTTTCTCAAAACCCACAACCTTTCTCTAATCCAAATCCCAATCAACTTTCAGCACCAAATTCCGGTTTTCGTATTGACCAGTTAGACGATGATGCCAACAGAAAAAATTGTGAGTACTAGTCAGTATTCGAAATTTGGTCTTGGTCAATATCCGGACTTTGATATTGGTCAATACACGGATTTTGATGATGTTTCAGAAGAAGAAACAGACCATGCGTGTAATGATATTGATATTGGTCAATACCCGAATTTTGATGATGAAACAGCCGTTGCCGAAGAATGTAATGTTGATGATAATGAGGAGGAAGTTACGACTGTGAATGAACATGTTGAACATCCATTCTGTAATTCATATAATCCTAAAGAAGAAAAAGAAGAAGAAAAAGTCCCCGAAGAAAAGAAAATGCCACGGGCGTATAACTGGAATATGCCAGAATTACTTCAGATACCTGAAGAAGAGTTGATAAAGAAAGCAGTTGATTGTTACACAAAAGTTATTCGTATCAAGAAAGATGATTGTTTTGATACAAAGGAAGACTTGAAGATAGCTTTATATACGAAATGTGTGGAAGATGGCTATCAACTAAAAGTTAACAAATCAAGCAAAGATCGTTTCGAAACAAGGTGTATGATTGACAAAAACTGTACGTGGCGTATGATTGCAAAGAGAATAAAAGATTGCAAAATGTTTCAAGTTAGGACTTTTATTGATAAACATACATGTTCAAGAACCCAAGTTTTTCCTCACCATAGACAGGCAAACAAAAAGGTGTTGGGTGGTTTTCTGGCTGAGTTAATGTTTTTGAATGGCAGGGTATATCGGGGACATGAAATTATGACTGACATGAATGCTCGGTTCAAGATTAGTATATCATATTCTCAAGCTTGGAGAGCCAAATGTTATGCCTTGGAATTGTTGAGGGGGTCGCCAGAAGCATCGTTTGCCCAACTGCCGGCTTATTGTCACAATTTAAAGCTGAAAAATCCTGGGTCGGTAACTCATATCAAAACAGATAGAGATGGACGCTTTGAGTTGCTGTTTATCGCCATTGGTGCTACGGTTAGTAAATCAATATAATTTTGTTGACTCATTTTTGTTAGTTACATGCATTTCACATTAAATGATTATATTTCTTGTGTATATTATTTTGTAGATTCGTTCGTTTATTACTTGCATGCGCCCAGTTATTATAGTTGACGGAGCACATTTGAAAGGTCGATACCTTGGAGTAAACTTATTAGCAGTAGCCATGGATGCTAACAATGGGATATTGCCAATAGCTTACGGGGTTGGCAAATCTGAAACCTCTGATTCATGGACATGGTTTATGGGGCATCTTAGGGATTGCATAGGTCCTATTAGCAATCTGACAATCATATCCGATAGGGCAAACTCAATTGACAACGCTGTTAGAAGGTGTTTCCCAGATGCTTTCATGGACTTTGTGGTGTTCATTTGTATAGAAATCTAAAATCAAGGTCTGCTGTATAAAAAAGCACAAATGGACATACTGGAAGGCTGTAAAAGCTTATCGGGAAGTGGATTTCAATAAGCATATAAATTGTTTAAGACGTTTTGCCTCAGTGTGCTCAAACTAGAAGATGTCGGGTTTGAAAGATGGTCAAGAGTACATCAACTTGGAGCAAGATATGGTTTCATGACGTCTAATAGTGCAGAATCAATCAACGCTCTAAGTCGTCATTCCCGGAAATTACCCATTACTATGTTAATGGAGTTTTTTCGAGCCTCTATTCAACAGTGGTACTACAAGAAAAGAAACCATGCAGGTATTATTTCTTTGAATTCGTAACTTATCATATTTATATATTTTACTAAGTATTG